TTCGAAACCACCAGCCGCTCCAAGGAAGAAAGACGGGTTTTCTACTCCCCTAGGGAATTACAGCCTTGGAAACTCACAGGGTCAGTTCTGCCCTGTCCTGTCGGGTCACTGTGAGTTGACATTGAGAGCTGTGATTGGTAACAAAGATGGCGCCATTGATGGGAATGGAGGCCTTGATTTGGATGAACATGGCCTCTTCTGAGTGCTGGCGAGGCGGAGCCTGGGTGTCATGTCACTTGAGCACTAGCTGCCCACCCACGGGGGAATGTTGCCGCTTTTCACATGAACCGAAGGGGATCTGAGGCTACTCTCTCTGGGAGCGAAGTCAAGATTTGATTGGCATCACCCCCAATCATACCACAAGTTTGTAGGAGAGGCAGCAAAAGCCTTTGGGTTTTCTAAATGCTATCTTCATGCCTTTCAAGAAAATAAACAGAAGATAGTCTGATCCAAGTTCTTGCCTGTTTGTGGTCTTTATTCACATCATAAGGACCGGAAACCTTCCCCACGCCTTAGGCCAGCAAAAACGCAACAGCACTGGCATTGTTCCCCGGTTGGAAGAGGGCAAAGGGGCTGACCAGACGAGTTTCTTTCTTGACGCGCTCTCAGTTGGAACACCCCCCCCCACACACACACACACACACACCTGATAGGATTATTGAGTGTGACAGTGTGCACCAATGCCTGCCAGGATGACCCCGGGGAGTTTGCCTTGATTTTTTTTTTTTTTAACAGAAGCCACTTCTGACCTGGACCTTACTTGATTCCCCTTGTAGATTCTCCTCTAGACTGTAAGTAGCCTGAGGGTATGTTCTGGGTCATCTCTACTTCCCTCATCTGTTGTGCACGGCGTTAAGACTCAATGAGGACCCGCTGAATTGGTGGTTGGAAGAATACACGCACTTGTTACGTCACCCAAATCAGATTTCATTCTTCCCACTGAACAGAGGAGGGAGGGCAGAGGCTGAGATGTGGATTTCCTCCCATGACTAGCAGGAAACAGAGTTCAGGTCATTGACCCACATCTGTAAACTGCTAACTGGAAGATAGGTGGAAGGGGTGGGGGAAGTTGAGTCCTTTTAGGGGTGTCTTGGAAGAAAGGCCTGGTAATCACTCACACACACACACACACACACACACACACACACACACTTTTTAGGGGTGCCTTGGAAGAAAGGCCTGGTAATTACACACACACACACACACACACACACGGAAAAGTTGGTGGCACACAGCCCTACCCTGATTGACAGGCTTGCCCTGAGTCAGCCAGCTTGGCAGCCACTGCTTACTGGGTCTAACTACAAAGCTCTTTTATATGTGTTTTATTGTCCTTAGAAACATGTGTTTTACAGGTTTATCCTGTGAACACTATTAAAAATAAGAGCTGGAGGCCTCGCACAAGCGCAAGGAAGCCGGGGTCTGTTCTCTCCCTGAGTTTATTAGCAACGCTTTGGCTCTTAGGCACCACAGAGGCTGCGGTGAGCTGGGTGTCAAAAAAGCCGAGTGGTTGCATCACAGTGTGTGGAACTTTAAAAGTAGACAATTAATCTGGTGCTGCTGGCTGCTCTGCTGCTTTGCGTAGCCAACTTGGCCACAGTTCACAATGTTTAGGCTGTGGAATGAAGATGGCTGTGGTCCCTATCTAGTCTCTCCCAGTGCCACCAACCCCCAAAAGACCAGCTGCCGTATCTAAGCCAGAGCGGTGATCCACCGCCCTCCTCCACCCCCGAGCTTCATTCGAGGCCTGCTTTCCGGAGCTCAGGGCTGTTCCTTACCTTCCTGGGCCCTCCGTGTTTACTTTGTGAAGGTCAGGCACAATACCTTGGGCTGCCGCTGCTCTTTCTTTTCAAAGCACCGGCATGAATTTGATAAAGTAAATTGTTGTTCTGGCAGGAAGCAGTTAGGGGGTCGCAAAATAAATAGCCGGGGAATTCAAATAAATCCCAAGAATAAAACCAAATAAATTCACGTGTGTATGCACGGTGATATATAAATACACTTACTTTTTTTTTTTTTTAAGTTAAGCATTTTTATTGTTGCCGGTCTGGACCAAAAGTAATTGAAAAATTGTGGAGTTTATGGTACAGCTTTTAGAGGCAGTCTGGGGCTTGGAGCAACGTGATAGGAATATAATTCTTTTGGGAGGAAACACGAGCATAGAGTTGTTATCTGTTAAGCCATCGTGTATCATGGACGTTTTCAGCTAATGAAATTCATATTTGTATGAAACCAATTTGCAAAGCGAAAGGAAGGATTTAGACATCTGGGAGGGGAGTGGGTTGTGAGACGCGAGAAAGCTAACTATGTCCTCTCCACATGACGGCACAAAAGTTTGCTACGACAACGTCGGGTTTTCAGGGGTTCCTTTTCCCGAATTAGACCCCCAGGCCTTTCTTCTGAGCTCGGGGTGGACTTGAACTTTTGACTTTTGGACTTGCACTTTCGACTTTCTGTAGTTGCTGAGCACATGAACCATTGATCTCCCCCAGGACTCCTAGGACGGGGGCCAAACAAAACAACCACCAACCTGCTGGGGATCAAGTTGGTTCTGGGTCCTGGCTGCCCTGTGCATGTGCAGAGAGCAGAGCTACCCCATAGGGCTCTTCTGGTTTTCATCTTGATGGAGGCCCCTTGCCAGCTCTCTCCCTGGTGGTGCTGCTGGCCGAGTGTGAACCCCCAAGAGTGAGGTTAGTCGTTGAGTCGGAGCCGTTTGTGCCACCCAGGGACCTCACAATGGGAGTACCCGGGCTCCTCCTAAGATGGGACTCAAACCCCAAACCAAACTCGTTTATTGCATCAAGTCGATTCCCAGTCATAGCGACACGAGGATTTGTGACACCATGACTCTTGATGGAAGTAGAAAGCCTCATCTTTCTCCCGCCGAGTGTCTAGTGGTTTCAACCTGCTGGCTTTGTGGTTAGCAGCCGAACACACAACCATGACCCCAGCCCGGGCTGCAGCAGATGGGACTAGAAGTGCTTAAATGGTGCTTTAAGCATACATGTCTGTATAACCTCTTGGAGTTGACATGAGTCAGTGCAAACCTGATACAAAGTACCTTGGTGAATAATCAGTGGTGACTATTTTCAGTATCTGGAGGAGTCCTGATAGGACAGTGGTTAAGTGCCTAGCTACAAATGGAAAGGTCAGCAGTTTGAACTCACCAGCTGCTCGCTAGGACCAAGATGAGGCAGCCTGCTTCCAAAAAGAGCTATAACTTTGGAAGCTGATTCTGTCCTGTAGGGTTGCCATGAGTTGGAATCGGGGCTATGCCTGTGGGTTGGGCTTCTTCCTAGTACCAAGATGTGTGCTGTGTTTTTCCCCAGCCCAGAGCTGGTGTGTTGCATTTTACCTTGTATGGTGGATGGCATGGGAGCGTGGCCCTTGACCCTGGGGAACAAAGATGGTGTAAGGGGTATTCTGAGAATAGCACGAGCCAAAGCAGATCCTCTGTTTTCTTTGGAGGGCGGGAAAAGGGGATAGCAGACCACGAAAGTAGATAGGAGGGGGAGAGAGCTGCATCTCAGAGAACGCAGGAAGCCATACTCAGGGATTTTTCACTCATCCTGGGCAATGGGGAACCACTGGGGCACTTGCCGTTTTAGTAAGGCAGCGGCATGATTGTGGCCAGAGTGCTTTTTCAGGGTGTGAACTGTGTGTGTGTTTTTGTGTGTGTGTGTGTGTAAGACGGGGCCAGAAGACCTTCATTGGGAGGCTTGCCCAGTAGTTCGAGAGAGCCTTGGCCTTTGGCTTCAGGCTTTCCTGGCAAGTGATGGCATGTGTTTGTCCTGACCTTTGAGAGCATGGCGTCTGAACTGGCCGGTGATAACCAGCAGCTGCTGCCGGTGCCCCTGGGTGCCCTTGGGCTCCACTCCAGGTCTCCAGGCAGCAGGGTCAAACTTAGCTGTTTCCCTGGCTTAGTGTTTGAGAAGGATGGGCAGGGCGGCATCCGTCGAGCAGTCCCGGGGGAAATCCTTGAGGCGTTTCGTCTCCTTTAGTCCTAGTCATGACTTAACTTCACAGTTAAGGAAGCCGAGGCGGTGTAGAAGGAGTGAGAGGGAACGAGTGCACAGAGCGAGGAGATGGCAGATGTGACGTTCACAAATAGGCTCTCTGAGTCCTAGGGCTTCCCTGTTCCAGGCAGCAGACCCTAAGGGTGAGCTTCTCAAAGGGGGCTTTACCAAGACGAGGGGTCCGGCCCCAACGAAATGAATGCATTTGGAGAAATGAAATAATGACTGTCATGAAATCGGATTGAGCGTACATGAACAGTCACTCTCCATTGGACGCTGGCAGTGTGTTGTAGGCAGTGCAGATGCTCCTGAATGTTCTTGAACCAGCCATTCCTCCTCGCGGAACCCCCCCATAAAAGAGGACAGTGCTACTCTCCTACGAGTGTTGTTGTGTGCTGTCAATTCTGAATTAGAGTGACCCTCTAAGACCCAGTAGGACTAACTCGTAGGGTCTCCTTGGCAGAAATGATGTTAGCAGCAGATGATCAGAACTTGTCTCTCATGGTGCAGCTTGCGGGCCTGAACCACCAACCTTACAAGCGCTGAGCTTGTGCTTCCCGGGCTCCACTTTCCTTTTAGTGGTGAGGAGAGGAACAAAGGGAGGGAGGTCATAAATGCCCTCTGTAGGCTGTAGCAGCTGCCAATGAGGACACTTAGTACCGATTTCTGTGTTTCTGAGGAGTCCTGCTGGCATCATGGACTCCACGTTGGGCTGCTAACCCCAAGGTTAGCTGTTCAAACCCATCAGCTGCTTCTGGGGGGGAAAGATGAAACTGTCTTTTCCAGTGAAATTTTACCATCCTGGGAACCCTGAGGCCCGTCAACACTGAGCTACCGTGAGCTGGAGTCACCTCCATGGCGGTGGGTTGGTTTCGGGGGCCGTCTGTCAACGTTGTGTTGTGGGGTGAGCCTTGGCCTCCTGGCACTGACCTTTTCCTCTCTGTTCTCCCTTTCTCTGACACGCAATGGCTCGTCCTTGACCAGCCGGCCTGCCCTTCCTCATCATCGAGTCAAGCGCCATCAAGCCTTACCACCGAGGGTTTTACTGCAGTGATGAGAGCATCAAGTACCCGCTGAAAACCGGCGAGACGATCAACGATGCCGTGCTGTGCGCCGTGGGGATTGTCATCGCCATCCTCGCGGTAAGGGCCCCCGCTGTGCCATGCCCCGTCCTATCTGCCCTCCCCTCCGGATCCAGAACACACACGTCTGTCAGCACTGGCTCCAACAGATCCAGTGTCCAGAGCTCCATCTGATTAACATGATTCGTTTCATGTAGCGACTGCCCTTACCAAGCGCCAGCGGTGACCATGAAATTGATACTTGCCAAGCACCCTTCTCAAATATTTTCTTCACTCACACCCTCGCAAAAATCCATAAAGTACAGACCCCGTGATTGCCTTCTCAGATTAAGAAATCGTGGTTCACAGGGTGAAAACAACTTGCCCAAGGCCACTCGGTTAATCAGTGGTAGAGCTGGGTTCTGAACCTGGTCGCTTTCCTCAGCGCCTAAGCCCAGAGCCCCCGAGAAGGGTGATGCCTTGGCAGCAGTTACGGGTGTTTTTTGTGTTTTCCCACACCCTCGCTGTGCTGCTGGAACAGTGAGGTGCCATCGACCATCTCTGGCACGGTGCTCATTTACCTCTTGCCCAGTGGCTGTGAGGTCTCGGAGAAAAGAATGTAGGAATCCCAGGATCGAGGTTCTAGACCTCGATCTAGAGGTCTAGAGGTCATTGAATGCCAGAGGTCAGAGGTCATTGAATGCCCTTGCCCCTGACAACTGGACATGTTTAGAAACTGGACATGTTTAGAGGTCATTGAATGCCCTTGCCCCTGACAACTGGACATGTTGAGAAACAAGGATGACCATCTTTCTGCCCAGTATTGCAGTGAGTAAGAAAAGAGGTCATGGCTATTGAAATATCTTTGCAAGCTACCCATAATCACACAGCTGTGAACTGCAGACTTCTGTCGATGCTTCCCATAAAGGACGTTGTCTTCACTCAGTGTGTTTGTTACCCAGTGCTGTCGGAACAGAGATACCACAACTGCATGGCGTTAGCAAACAGATTTATTCTCTCACGGTGTAGGAGGATAGCTACAAGTCTGAATTCAGAGCGCCAGCGCTAAGGAAAGGCTTTCCCCTTGTGTTGGTTCCGGGGAATGGTCCCTGTCTCCTTTCAACATCTGTGAGTCTGGTGTTCCTTGGAAACATCCATGTTTCTTGGCACCAGCCTGCTCCTGGGTCTAGGAGAGTCTCAGCTTAAGCACTCTGGGCCTAAAGCACAGGCTCTGCTCCCTTCCTTGATGGTACTGAGATCCCTCCCTCTCTGCTCACTTCCCTCTCATTGTAACCCTTATAAGGTCAAAGGTCGTGCAGACTAGACTCCACAGCACTCTATTTACATTGGATCAGGGCACTGACCCGAGTCAAGGTGCTGCATTCGCCCTAGTTCCTTTACAGCTGATTGGCTACAGGTGAAGACATCACCTCCGATCACATTGTGGGGGATGACCACATCATTCTATAACTACCAAGCTAGTGAGAATCATGGCTTGGCCGAGTGGGCATCTATTTGGGGGACATACAATTCAATCTAGGACATGGGGTGTATCGGGGAAATGTTCACTGAATTTCCCAGAATCCATCATTGCTTCGAGCAGTGGTAACCCCATGGGAATTGGGGTCGGACTTATTTGGGCCCAGCTTAGAAGGCAAGCAGCCTGATAGCTATGTCAACTTGGGGCATATGGCAATCTAGCCTTGGATTTGTGAGTCACGCATTTTTCACAGCTGTCCCTATCTCACCTCTCGCATTTTCTGTTTATTCTTTGCCCTTGAACCCTAGTCATGTGGGTGAACTGGAGGACTGTGAACCACCTGTAGGAAGATCATAAACTCGTTCTCAGAGGTCATTGAATCACTGTTCTTTTACACCTATCCTGCACGGCTAGCTTTGGCCTTCATTAGCAAGTCAGGAAGGAGGGGGTTGATATATAAATATTAAATGTGAAGTAAAGGCAATTATCCATAATACACAGATGGAAAACCAGAAGCTCAAGGGAGTGTGTTGACTCGTTCAAAACCGACAGCTAGCAGTGTGGGAAACGGGCCCCATCGTACTCTATCCAGCTTCCTTGAAGCTCCCTTTGCATCTAGCAGTTGTAATTCCCGCTGGGAGTCAGCTCAGGAACTGATCAAGGGGACTGGCTCTTTGCTTATCTTGCCCACTCCTTGAGCTGCTGATTCCGCGTGGACTGCGTTTCATGAAGTTCCCCTCTGACTTCTGCACTCTGGGGGTTGGCTATAAACGTTGAGACCCCTCTTTGTGTTTGAATAACATCGTAAAGCAGTCACACAACCAACAGTTTGAAAGTGGGGGTGGGGGTGGGGTGGGGTGGGGAAGCTGGTAGAATTCTTTCCAACTTTTAAAAGCGAAAACGGCCTATTTTTGGCAGCTGCCCTGGCTTCTTAAAGGTGCACTAAGGGTCATTGTGTTCAAACCCTGAAAAATACAAGCCCTGATTTTATGGTGTGGTCCCAAATGACAGTTGTTGGACTGAATTCTCTAGGAAGAACGGCTTTTCCTGGGAAAGGCGTTTTTAATGGAAAGCAAATACTTGTGACCGTATCTTGTTATACTGAGTTTTGAACAGGTGTTTCTGACACTTGGACGATCAGTTAATTGAATGATTTTAGCAACCCCTTAATAAGGCAGGAGTGTGGAGAGCTAAAGATAGTACAAGGGCAGGAATATCAAGTGCCTTTTAAGTGTCTGGAGTCTTGGCGGCATAGTGGTTAAGAGTTGGGTTACAATCTGCAAGGTCAGCAGTTCGAAACCACCAGCTTCGACTTGACGGCAGTGAGTGAGTTTAAGTGACCACGTGGGATTATTCCTGGTCTGCCTAGCAGGCTGTCCCAGGACTGCCTTGACACGACATGTAGTTCGAGGCTCTTCCAGGGACTAGCTCTGTGAATGAGGCCAATCACTGTTTTTCTTCAAGCCCGGCTGTCTCCTTTTTCAAAGAAGAATGATGTTAGAGTCACCCGTGGGACTGTGCCAAGGCTCAAAGGTGGTGATGTGTGCGATGCGTTGGGCCAGATGGAAGGCAGCGCCTTCCACGATGTGTGGCTTGGGCTTGCCGACCTGACGCCGGATGGGCAAAAGAAAGTGCGACAGCAGCTTCTTTAAGAGCCACACTTCTATTCGGTTCTTGCGTCCCCAAGCAAAGCGCCCGGTCAGCAGCTTGTCCCCTGCTGCTTGCCAAAGCCTGTTCCTTCCTCCACACCAGATTCCAAGAACACCGTGCCTGTCAGAGCCTAGTGTGGCTTGCCCCTCTCCTCACGACATGCTGATGTTTTCATTGAAATGCCCCCTGACCTCCCAGGGCTTCCTTGACGCTGTCCTGCTTTGTGGCCTTGGTTCCAGGATGAGCCGGAAGGAAAAGCAGCTTTGTTTTTCTGTGCTGTACTGTGTCGGCAGATAGCCTCGGCCCTGCTTTCCTGCACTTCAGAGCTGGAGTCCTGCTGGCCAGGTGGCTTAGGTGTGGGCTGCTGACCACAGAGCCAGCCATTCCAACCCACCAGACTCTTCACCGGAGAAAGATGAAGCTGTCCACTCAGCTCCACCAACTCAGGAACCTTATGGAACCATTCTGTCTGGTTTTATTGGGTTGCTCACAGTTGGGTTGGCCCCGACTCAATGGCAGTGAGTTTTTATAATTCCAAGAAAGAGGGATATCTCACCATGATTGTTCCCATGGTGAAATGCTCCAACGGCTGGCATGTTGGTCTCACAGAAGCCCTGGGAGCTGGGCCTGGGCTCTGGCGTGGATCTGAGCACCGCCGTTCACCACCTGTCCACCAGGCCTCAGTACACTCGGCGGTTAAACAGAGGCAAGTACACATTTCTCTCTGGGAAGATCTTGAGAGTTAAACGGACTCTTGTATTAAGTAGTACAGTGCCTGGCACATACCGTATACTCAACAAGTGTTAGTTATGTTTATTTTAAAGGAATAAGCAGAGGCAAATATTGGTGAAGCGGTTTGGATTTAAAGACGTCACACACGTATCAAACAGCTATCATCTAGCTGATTCCAATTCACGCTGACTCGATAGGTGTCACGTCAGAGTCAACCTGTGCTCCCTGGGCTTGGCAGTAGCTGACTTTTCAGAGAGAGATTGCCATGACTTTCTTCCCAGGTACCTCCAGGTGAACTCGAACCGCCAGCCTTTGGGGCACCCCCTTCTAGTTAGCTGAGACCGAAGAGCGGGCAACTGTAGAGTCAGGCAAGGAACTTCCTTCTTGGGACTGGTCTCCAGGCTCGTTCCTCATGCTAACTACTTAGAACTCCGTTCTCCTGGCTCTGCCTCAGTGGCTTGTTTCAAGAGGACCTTTGCTTCTGCTCCGGTTGCTGCTGCCTTTCAGCTGGAGGCGCATGGGGGGTGCGGGCGCCTCGAGAGGCCTGCCCGCCATATATGAATGGAGTGTACTCTTGGGAAAAAGGCCGAGACCTAGGCAAGTGAAAACATGGGCATTACGGGTGATATAGACTTACATATTTCCGGAAAAGCGATGCCACTTAAAAAACCACGCCCCCCACACCCAGGTCTCTCTGACCACGCCAACCCAGCGCTCCCCATCCAGAACCTGCTTCTGACCAGAGGGTGGGCGTGAAGGTGGTGGAATGGGGCAGGAAGGCCGGCCCCGCACTGGAAAAGTAATCCTCCTGCTACTTTCGGCTTCTTCTCCTGCCCGACCTCGGCTTGTTGAAAGCAACAGCACCGGCCCTGACCGCTAGTGGAGGAACACACTCCCGGGTGAATAGGCCCCACAGAAAGCCCTGGGAACTCGGGGACCAGTGCTGCGCAGAGATGCAAATCTCAGAAGCTGTCCAGAAAGCAGACACCTTGTTGTGGCAGGAGATATGGAAAACCCCGGTCATCCTGACTTCTTTTTCAGAGGGACTCAGGTTCTGGAATTATAGCATAATAGGAATGCCTTCCAAATCCACAAAGCATGGGTTCCTGTCCCTGACTTAGGAAGGCTTAATGGCTATAGCAGCAGCGAGCTTAGGCGCGGACAGTAAAACAGCATCTCCTATCTGGCCTCCTCTCAGTTGTGCTTTGCGCTGCCCTGT